TACACGAATAATTAAAATGAATTCAAAAATTTCATACTTCAATTACGGAATAAATATAACATTTTTGCCTTTACTAAAGGATTCTTATTTATCAAAACTTACCGCTTGAAATGTATATAATCACATAATACAGATTTTTTTTAACTATGTAACTGTGTAATTTCGAATATTTAATATAATGAAACTTCTGTTATCACTCGTAATATTTTATTGTAAATGAAATTTCACTGAAGCTTTGTTATGAAAATTTCACATTTGTCATCAATGGTTTACTGTTTTACACATTCTGACTTCGAAATTAGTAGGAATTAAAAAAAAGATTACATAGAAATTGTCAGCAGTAACTTTATTCACCTATTCTATAACACTCGTCAATGTAAAGACTTTTATTTCGTCATATACTGACATCAAATAGAGAATAATTTTATTAGGAACTCTACAAGACACTGAACAGTTGTGTCTCATGTCAAATTTATTTGTATCACCATAGTTGGGCTAACTGAACACATGTTAATAATTTTCATGTTAAAATTATCATTACAGCTGCTACCACTGTCATGAATGAAGACATTAACACTAGATGGAATAAGTGATTTATGTAAAAAAAAGACACGGTTTATTATTAGCAAAACGTGAACACCTTATCTTCAGGCTTTCGTTTGCGAAACAAGCAAATTACTGGTTATCTTCTTCCACATGTCCTCTGTTCTATTCGAATCCAACACTCTGCTAGTCGGTAGCAACTTATGGGTGAAATCATACTTTATACTACTTATAAGCCACACTGTGATTAGCGGACACCACACTACTCCTAATGCTGAGAAGTGAAATATCTTTTTCTAATCTATGCCCTTAACATGAAATAATTTCATCGTTTTGAATCTTTCATTTGTAAATTTATACTTAATATAAAGTGAAGTCCATGTAGCAGTAGTTACAAACGACCAGTATATATGTGGGTTTCTATAAGCTCACACTATCCTAATTTCCCAGGTATGTAACAGTTTTAGTCTAATATTATTGAAATAGTGAATCGATCAATGTTAGTCTACCATTATAAACCTGCAAACATCGTACGCCCGTTTCATTTTCGTGTGGGACTCATCAGCAGTGATCATCCGCGACCACCGCTCGCTGGGTTCGAACTTAAGGCCTTCGATCTTGAGTGTGAACACATATCCTCTAGATCACTGAGCCGTGTCATTGTTACTTTTATTGAAATGGACCAGTGGAGTCAATTATAAATAAAAAATTTTTGTAGAACACTTTCTAAACAACAAATTAGTGGATAATATTAACTTTCTCGGTTTTGGCGCTATATTTTTAATCCTAGTATCATTCACATAATTAATTAGGTGATTAAGTAGAAGTACACATCTATCCTACATGAGCTATTGATTTTACCAAAACATATTGAGTGTTTATCTATATTTCTTTACGAGTGCAATTTGTTTAGTGTGGTCTCTTGTTATTTGAATTCTTTTCTTTTGAATTTTTCACTTTTTTTTCCCACTCTCCATTATTACTACCTTTCCCTTTTATCAACGTTATACGTTTTGTTTGATTCTTTGTTTTATGACTACGTCTACATCCGTGCTTGTGTGTGTGTGTGTATGTGTGTGAGCGAATGTACACGTATTCTGTTTGTATGAGGTTGTGTATGATGTTTGTTTGTTTTTTTTGGTTTAGAGATAAAACCAAAAAAAAGGCAGGGGGAATCTTTTATCTAGGTCTCTTTTTTAAATAGACTTTAATATTTTACTGTCAGTTAAAATTGTTCCATTAATATATATATATAGAATTAACAGTCTGTTCCGTTAGTTTATTTTTACTTGAAACAAAACTGGCCGCTATATGTTATTGTTGTTGTTGTTGTTGTTGTTGTTAGTTTTTTCATTTCGTGCATACCTCTCTTCATTAGTTTATTTCATTGATATACATTAAGAATGGTTGTTTGTCGTTTAAACGATATTTATTAATTGTATATATATGTATATATATATATATATATATATATTTTTTTTTTTTTGAAATATTTATTTTTCATTTTACGTTAAACGAATAAATATCAATAAAATTTAGTGAAGAAACTACATTTGACTTATGTTGAAATAGAAAAAAAAATAAAGGTAGTCTGTTTATGCAATTTTGAGAACAGCTCAAATTGAAATAGAAAGTTTTACATAAAGTGTTACCTAATAAAAAATCTAGTATATTTCCTACAACACAAAATGTCATTACATGAAGTAGTCTGAAACGTATCTGAACTACTTAATTTCACTGAGCTTTAGATGTGTTCAACTCTTGGGATGCGTTTCTATTGTAGTTTACAGAAATTCATTTATTGACAAATATTTTAGATTTAAACTGATATGTATTCGTTTCAGATTCTACATAGGTCATAACTAACTGATTTTATGCATAACCAGACTCTTGCCAATGTGAAGTATCAGACCATAAGCTTGACTATAAATTTCCAATCATCGTTGTCATTTTTATTTGCATTCAACACTCTTTCCTCATTATGTTTCGAAATTTAATGAACGACAATCATATTATAAGAGATTCTAAAAGATATCTTTGTATCACAGAAAAATGCGTTTATAATAGATTCATGAGTGAGACCTTTGAAAAATAACACAAATTCAGATTAAATGTTTTGATGCTCACTACGGATACAACTTCACTGTCAGGAGCACTGGCTGGTTACTCTTCCAGATTATTTCAAAAAAATACCTTCATCTCACACTGTTGTTGAATTGTATGGGAAACAGATTTTAGGAATTTATTCTGAACTTAGGTGATAACGAAAAAATGCTTTTGCACAATACAGTTTTACATTGTCAAGTATTAGTACCATATTCTCGTTGCGCCGGAAAATATACCGAAAACCTCTGTAATCACTCTATTCGAGTTATTTTAATTTCTGAGAATTTCCTTCGGATCAACTAATGCAGCTCAAACTTTCCAGTGATTCATTGACCACATCGCTAGAGGTTTTTCAGGAGTATATTCATATATCGATGGCATGCTGATAGCTAGAGTTACCGCGAAAAGATATCTACAACACTTAAAATAACAAGAACATGGCGTCACTGCCAACGTTGAGAGACGTGAATTTGTAAATGAATCACTGCAATTTCCAGGTTACATGATTAATTCCAAAAGTATCACACAAGTTACAGTAGAAGTTGCAGCTATTCGTGATTATCAGTTGCCCGAATCACAGAGAAAACTACGACGATTCCTGGGGGTCATATACATTCCAACCTGTGTAATAGTATTACAACCACTGACGGACGCTTTGCAGGGACATGTTTGGACGTTACGTCTATTGTTGGACGCTATGCAGGCACTCAAGGACGCTAAGCTAAATGAAAAGACGATGTTAGTACGATGAAAGATCAAAACATCACTAGCCGTGATGAATGAAGCATCGAACAAAGCAATGGGAGCCTCATTGAATCAGTTAGTAGATGGCACCTGGAAACTACTTTCATTTTTCTCAAACGATGTATAGTAAGTTCGGAAGGGAATCGCTGATGATTTACTTGGCAATAAAGCATTGCTGGCATGAAATTAAGAGTACCGTTTTCACAGTGTATATAGATCATAAACCTTTCGCGAAAGCATTAAACGCTATGTAGGATATTTATTAATCGAAGGAAACTCGACAATTAGGATTTATTTACCAATTTAAGTCTATCATTCAGTATATTAAACGCAGTATTAACGAAGTAGCAGATACATTATCCAGAACGATGGCAACCGTTCTCATCCAGTCTGAAAATGATCATTGCAAAATAGCAGCAGTGTAAAATATGGATGCTGAGCTAGTTGGACTAAGGTTAGCAAACATAACTTCTTTGGTACTCAATGAAATTCGATTCGACAACGTAAGCATAACGTGCTATGTTTTTACAGGCTAACAACGACCATTTATTCCAAAGTCATTGAGAAAAAAGGTCTCCGAAATTATGCATATATATCAGATCCTGAAATAAATGCCTTAATCAAAATAATCAGTGATCGTTTTGTACGGCCAAGTGTGAACGGGCATATTCATATCTGGACACAAGAATGTATAAAATGCCAAAAGATTAAAGTACATCATCAAACTTATTTGGCAGTAAGTCCTTTTCGTCACCCTGACACTAGATTCGAGAATATACATATCGATTTTTTGGGACCAATGCCGATTTCAAATGGCTCCATTTATATTTTCACGTGAATCGATAGATTCATGTAATGGCCTTTAGCAGTACTCATAAAAGGCGATTCAGCTGAAACTAAAGGTCAAAGGCCGAGTTGAGCATTGGATCTCATATTATGGAGAGCTGGCTATAATTACAAACGATAGAGGAGTTTATTCCGAAGGTTGACCCTTCCAACAACTAACAGAACTCTTGGGAACCAAGCCCATTGGCACAAAAATATCGTTAACTGAAACATGGTTCTACTTAGTAATTTTACATTTACTTTGAAGAATTTAGTGGAACTCATCGTTTTTGGTAACTTTTTGTAAGATTACGAACCAGACTGAATTAGGTAACTATTGAAAATTAATAAGTACTTAAAAATAGTCTATAGGGCACTCGTTCTCTGCTCAACCTGAAGGTCCTAGATTCACTCATAGATACTCACTGCTGAGGAATCGCGTGCTCAGACGGAAACAAGTTATCCGGTGCTTTCTGGGTTTTAGTGACTGTTTGGCTTATATTGGTTCGCGATCTCACTAACAATCAACAATCTTCATTTACCTTTTTTAAAATTCGTGGCTTGCAGAAAATTTTTGTCTCTGTCATATGCATTGATTTTATCATAAACTGAATAACATATTTATTTTATGTAAGTGATAATCTATTAAAAATGTTTGTAATTTGTTGCATGTTATATTCTCATCAGCTGTTTATATCAATTTACAATTATCAATAGAACTCATTATTTGTTCAAACTAAAATTAATGCTCTTGATATTTTAAAATTCTTTGTTTTATTTAGCTTCTGCAATTAGTCGAGAATATTCTTCATCAGGTGCTTCTTCACTTCAAAGTCATCATACCGATTTTAATTATGACAGTAAAGAATCCTTACCTGATCCAAATCAATTAAAATTGATTACATTGCAATATTTAATTGCACGTCATTTTGCTGTATTATTACCAGAATGTTGGACAACTGAACCGGATTCACGTTTATCCGCACTGCGTATCAAGAAACGTTTACAGAGTATTTATGAATTCATCAATAATTTTATGCATAAATCAACAACATTTACTAATTCAACTGGAAATATTATCAATGAAAATTCGAATCATCATCATAAAACGAATCATCTCATTTGTATAAATGATGTTTCAACTCTTGTAAATAGAACTTGATCATTGAAGACTATATATATATATATATATATATATATATATATATATATATATATATATATATATATATATATATATATATATATATATATTAAGTATGGCAATAAAATTAATTTAATATTTTTAAGATTTGTTCATTTCATTTATTACAAAACTTTATCTTTTGTTTTTACACAATTCAAATTGTTAATATACTACTTTGTGAATCGTACTACCAATACTAATGGTAATATTAGTAGTATTTATTACTAGCACACAGTGTACATCTTTATAATTTTTGTACATACAACAAACAGATGAGCAATCAACTATTGTCAATTCATATAGTTGAATATATATACATAAACATATACAATATATTCTTAATATTCCTATTGGTTTTTATATCTGTTTTGTCCTGATGACAAAAGGTTTAATTTAAATACATATTTCCCGAGTGCAGCTTATGTACAAAGTTTTATAATTTGTTTGCTGTTTGTTTTGTTACTGTTGTCGGTGTTGTTGTTGCTTCTAATCTCTGTTCTTTAAACAAACACTTTATCAGCTTCGTTTCTCTTCACCACATCATTATTTTCTGTCAATAATATTAATAATAATGATAGTAGTAGGTTTGTTGTTGTTGGTGTTGTTAAGACTTTTATTTGAATTTTTCTACTATCATTTCCCTTCTTGATATTCAACATTATTTTATTGCCGAAAAAAAACTTCTGTTATTCTTTTTAAAATAATAATTTTCAGCGTTATTAGCACTGTTCAAATATTGTATTACTCTTGTGTGTGTTTCTTTTTTCTCTCAATTAAAAAGTATGCAAAAATTAACACAGCACTATTTATCGAATTGGTCTATTTATGGAAGAAGCAATTGTATAAAAGTATTTTTTAAATATTAAGTAATTAGTATTTGTTTACTTTTCTTTTTTTATTCAAAAAATTTATTGTGCTTTCTCAACTAGAAAGTATGATTATTTAAGAGATAACTGTTTTAATTAAGTTTTCACATTTTTTTCAGTTACACAGTAGAGTTATACAATTTGGATTATGGTAGATTATGGCATTGGTTCATTGTGTATAAAAGTGAAATTTACTACTGAACAAGGCATTTTAATCGTCAAAGTAATTAACGGAGGTACTGAGCTGTAAGTAATGGGTTGACATAAGCATCATACCAGAATAAATATTCTATTATCGGATTGGGACAATCAATTACGGAATCTAATCCTTGGGTAAATGTAATAATTATGCTCACAGTATTAAGACGATTTTACTTATCTGCATGTATTGGTATCTACTAAAAGTTTTATCTAGACGAGTTATTAGAATTACTCATGCTTATGACATATGGATTTGAATACTATAAGAATTTACAGAAAACTCATCTTTCAATCCTGTTTAGAATTTTCATCAAAACTAAAAGGAAGGTATCAGTATGAAGCCTGCTATTACCAAGATACTTAAAATAATGTTGATTTACAGTGTATTGCAAATTTCGATGAATTTGAATACAACTGTGACAAATTACTAAAGACATGGGATAAGTACTTGAAAAGTATTGTTACGGGGTTGAAATGAAGTTTGAATGGAATATCAAAAACATGTTTACGATCTTCAGAAAGTGCATAATCCTTCAAAGATTCACTAATAACTGTCAATGTGACCCTTAAACATCGATTACCTTTTGATCTTCAGATAAAACTCCTGATCAAGAATTCAGAGGATGCGCTTATCGAGGTATATTAACTCCAGTGGCTCTTCTTCGCTGAAATGTTGATATGTGTTTGTAAATGTAAAATCGAAGCTCGAATCTTTCAGATCTTAACTTTCAACGATAGGCTGTTTCGTAATTAAGCTAAATGAAACATCAGTAGTCGTTTGTAAGTGTTTCATTTGTACAACTATTAGGAAAACTAAACTGTCATTTATTCTCTCTTGTTTCTGTTACTTAATGATAAATGCATCATGTAAAAGTGATTGTTATCCCGAACTGAATTCATTCGATAGACCATCAAATATCAGTTAATACTAATAGTTATATCATAATTACCTTCAGACAGAACCATTTTATTGAATAAATTATTATTCAGAATTTTCGTGTTCGCTGATTTGATAACGTTTTTAGTTGTGGACTAGCATTAGCTGAAGGAATAGTGAATATTTGGAGGGTTGCCGACTAGCTGTTTGTGCTAGATTAGTACCCCTATTCAGTAGTGTCATCTATGACCTCATCAAGAATGAAACATAAAATTTTCAAGCCATCTTGTAAATGACCTTATATTTCGACCACTGAACAATATATTCGTCAGTCTACAGTACGAAGAATCAACATCAGACCTCTCTTGGTTTTATCGTGAATTTTATCTCCTATCGATTCCTGACTAACTGCATAATTAGACCTGTTGCCGGTAGCTACGAGGGACATAGGCTTCTGATAATAATAATCCAACCAACTCTCTTCTCAGTCATCCTTTCCAGTTGCTCCCGAGTCCTTGTTCATTCTTTTGATGTCTAAATCCGATTATCGACACCATGTACTCCTTGGTCTACTTCTTCTCTCTACATATTCAGATATCCCAGTTAGCACTTGCCGTTTGATGGATTTGATGATTCCTTTAAAGTATGACCTATCCAGATCCAGTTTGTTTTACTAATTATTTGTTAAATGATAGCTGATTTGTTCACTGTCGTAGTAAGCAATTGGTGATGATGTCTGAAAAATGTATCTGAAGTATTGGACGTTTATAAATAATGCTGATGAATGCATGAAGTTTAGGTCGATGTTTACAATAGTTCTCCAAATACCAGTTCGATAGAAAAAAACTGTGCTGATGATGGTGTTGGAAATGTTGACCGTAGTTCCGACTTAGGTTTGTTTTTCAATTTTAAGGATGTCCCACTTGCTTAACTGATTTTGGTGTTCACATGTTCGTATCTTCCTGGTTCATCAACAGTACTATCCAGGTATGTGATCGTTTGTTATTTCTGTACTTGAATGGTTGTTTTGATTTAGTATACTTCCCAGCGAGCTTCATTTTATCGTAAGGTTGTTTCATGTTTCCCTCTTTTGTAGTAGTTAGGTATTTTTTTATTTCCGCTTATCAGCTCTAATACTTGTTTACATCTGTGTATTCAGACTGCTACTCAGCTTTTTATGGTGTTATCAGGTTCTCATTGATTGATGTTTTCTTGTTCAACTTTTATCGAATTTTATCCGGTGTATCAACACAGGTACACTATTCATACTGGTGTCACCTGAGCCTTCTTTACATGTTGAGGTTAATATTTTTTCAAACCTACCTAGTTGTTGTCCACCGTATTTTACCCTTCTATTAGATCGTGTAAGGATTGGGAATTATTGCTGAGGGTTATTTCTAATTCATTCAATTTTTTAATAGCACAAAGAAAGATTGTTTCACACTTTTTATTTCTGTTTCTCCAGTTTCCCAGCATCTCTTGAGCTTCACTTTCATCTTGGCATCACCAAATGATGATCTGAGGCTCCTCTCTTTGCACTCAGTTCTTCCATAGACCTTCCAAACGTTTTCCTGATACAGATTTAATCTATTTGGTGATCGGTATTGTGGTCTGGTCAAACTCATGTACCTTCGTGTATGTGTTTGTGAGGAAAATTTGTTATCATCTTTAATCACACTGTTGAAAGCATATAAATTTGCAAATCTCTAATTAATCTCATCCTATGATTTTTAATACAGCTCTGTCCATATCGACCTTGGTGTTTAGATTTTCCTATTGAAGTGGTAATTCCTTAGAGTAGGCAGTTTCCTATGATGGACTACAGTACCACCCAACACTGATTTTTCTCATTTTGGATGTTGTCACTGGTGGGTGCATAGCACTGGATGACATTCGTTGTAATGCTCTCCTACCTTGCTTTGATGATTCTGGATTCCTGAAATTCCAATAATATAAACGGTTTCAATGGTTGTTCGGAGAGCATCAGTACAACCGCTTATGTGTACGACTCATTTTTCTCTTCGTGACTGTAGTACAAGAGCATTTCTTTTGGATCTAATGATTTATGTCGAGCTTGTGTTGAAAGAGTTTTACTAATTTGGAACACCTCCAGGTTGCATCATTTCATTTCGAAAGCAACTTAGATTGTCCTTCCTGTGTTCTACAATGTGTGCACATTTCATGCATCTATATTAATTATTGATAACAGACATGATCCTCTTGATTTCGGAAGAATATTGGCTATACTACCTCCCATTGAAAGAACTTTCAAGTACGAGACGCAAGTTTAAATGTTTAGAATGAGTTCCTTGCTTAGTGATTATTTTGCAAGGTTCTTTTCTACAAGATCGTGTTGCTAGTTACATTACCTATCATTCTTCTTTTGGTGGTTTTAAATTGGCAGTAACTCCAGATGGCTTCTAGCTTGAGTTTACTTTCTGATCATAACTTTAAATGACAAAAAGTCATTCATTATGTTTGTAATTCAACAACATACCATTAATTTAATTTTAAAGAATGGTATTTTGATCCTCTCCATACCCTGTCTACTAATGTCATCTTCATAACTGAACCAAATCGGTTTTCTCTCCATGATCTACTTGGTAACATATTATGCATTCCATTGAATTTATCTTATTTTTTTCATTAAAATGTCTCGAAATATGATTGGTTATCGGCTCACTTTTGATCTTTCCCATTAATTTATCGTATATAAATTGTATGTTCGTTGTTTTATTCTTCTTTTTATTATAGAAATAAAGCGAATGAAAATGTGTAATAGAGAATTAGATTTTTTCGGTTAATTTTTAATTTTCATAAATTACTTTGTGATAGTGTTACAATAATTAAATTTTATAACCAACTTGAATAGAGTACAGTTTACTTTTAACTATATATATATATATATATATATATATATATATATACTTAGATCTAGTTATAAGTCATCCAACGACCTATTATATTCAGCACAAATTTTTCGGTTAAGTAACTTTTTTTCTCCTCAAAAAAAAGTTTCTCATTTTAACAGC